TGGATATAAATTATATTCAAATACTAATCTAATACCTAATAATCAAATGACAGCCTTTTTACAATGGCTTTTTTCTTAGTTTAAATAATCAGAATTATGCAAGTAAAAAATAAAAATACAAATTGGTTTAACGTAAATTGTGGATGCCCTAACGTTAATTAATTTGATACTAATTGAAATTAATTATAAATCCTGTATTCGAAATTAATTATAAATCCTGTATTCGAAATGAATTATAAATCCTGTATTCAAAATTATTTTCTACAAATTTTAAAATACATTTTTGTTGTGTTAGCATCGACTGATAAAATGATTTAAGAAATGTAAGTCAAGTTAAATATAATTTATTGTTCAATTTAAATTATACATTACTTAGAATAGTAAAAAAATTTTGATAAAAAATTTTTATTAGAATTATTTTTTATATAAATAAAGTGTAAAGTGTATCTATTTTTTAAAATACTATATCTGATATATCACAAACAATATCTGTTTCGAAAACTTACAAAAGATTAAATAATAAAATTCAGATAGCTGAATATGAATTGGATGATGCAAAAAATTAATATCTTGTTGCAAAAAATCAATATATTCTTGCTGCAAAAAAGCAAAAACTTGCTGCAAAAAATCAATATCTTGCTGCAGAAAAACAATATCTTGCTGCAATAGACAAATTATTAAAGGTTGCTTGCGCATCTGATGATCATACAAAAGCTTTTGAGATTCTTCAACAAATTCAAAATGAAGGTAATGATCAGACTAAAGGTTCAATCAAAAATAAATTAGGAAGGCTCTTACTTGGCGGTAATGGCTGCAAACAAGATATCGATAAAGCATGAAAATTAATTAAAGAAGCCTCTAGACTTGGTCATACTCATGCTAGGGTTTGGGCTAATATTTATAATTCATCTGATGATTTTGGTGCAAGTGTGGTTATCGACCAAAATATGGTGTAAAATATCAATTAATTTCACGTGACAGTGTTTTGAGCAAACCAAAAGTTAATTTCTGAATTTTATTAATGATAATAAACGATACATTTAAAATTAGAAAAATTCCTTCTTATCTAAAAATCTTTTCTTTTTAAAAAAAAATGTAAAAATCAGAACAGGTTTAAGAAACATTCAGATAAATTGAATCGACCAACTATAGCTAAAAGATTCAGCTATGACCCGTGGGTCGATAGCGTAGTGGTTAGCGCTCCCGGGTCACAATCGCAAGGTCGCGAGTTCGAGTTTACTGGGTG